CCCTATCCCCCCCCAAATGCTGCCTCATCCCCTGGTAATCCTCATCCAGCTGCCACCAGGAGGAGCCAGGCAGCTGAATTTGAGGTGGGGGCTGAGGATGGTGGTGCTGGGGCTCAGCGAGGTGGGCTCCATCCTGGGCTTCTTGAGGCCGCACAGTCAGGCCTGGGGGACACAAGCACACAGGGGTCATGTTTTGGGATGGGGTGGAGGTGGTGCCCAGCACTGACTGTCCTCTCCATGAAGGCGTTGAGCCGGGCGGGCGCTGCTGTCTCCCTGCACGGGTAGAGTTGAGGACCCACCTCATTGAGGTCCTGGCCCAGCTCCTCCAAGGTGGGGACGCTGTAGTCTGTGTCGTGGCTGGCCTGGCATGGCGTGTGGCACTCTGGGGAGCCATGTGTCAGCCATCACTCTGCTCCAGGGTGAACAGTGAGGGAGACGCTGACCCAGTGCCCTGCTCTGCTGCTCCCAGGTCCACCCCATGCTTACCCCGGAGATGCTCCCGTGTGAGCGCTGGGGGTCCGAGGGATGTCAGGAGGCTCTGCAGGCACTCGTAGCTCAGGGGGGCTTTGCTGTTGTTCAAAATGAGAACTCTGGGGTGGGAGAGGGAGGGACGTGCTCAGCACTGGGGCTGGATCCCCCGTACCCCGAGGGATGGCTGCTGGAGGGCTCGAGGATGAAGAGGGGATGAAGGCGGCGGCAAATGGTGGCTACTGCCAGCAGCGCCGGGTTGTCACGTAGCCGGAGACCTTTCCGAAACCGATGGATGGAGCTGTGCTGCGTGGCTGGGGGGGATTTTAGGAGTGAAAAAACGCCTTGTTTGGTAAATTTAACTCGTGGAAGAAGTGGAAGCGGCAGGGATGGACCCGTCTGTGTCTGGTTATAAAACCACGGAGGGAAATGAGTCCGGGCTTGCCAGCGAGGGCTGGGTGCAGTGACGTCAGGCCGGTGGCGGATGTGGGAGGGAGGCCCTGGGGAGGGCTGGCTCCCTGGCCCAGTGGGATCCCGGATGACTTCCTCTGCCTGGGCTTCCACAGCGGAGGGACAGGACTCCTCTGTTCTGTCCCTGGGCCTGCTGGTGTGTGTCCCCATCCTCTGCTCCGCTCCCCATCGGGCAGCTCTGGAAGGATAGGTGAGCCTCGCTGCTCGCTGCACAACCCATTAGGCTCCAGAGTGAACGTGCTGCCATCCTACCTCTCCTTTTCCTGCCTAGGTGATCCTGGAAGATCCTTCTCGCCGAACCCAGGGGCTGATGCATCCCCCTTCCCTGCTCCGGCGCCTGACTCCTGCATCCCAGGTAGGCATCCCCCAAATTTCCCCCCTGCCCTTCACCATCCATGCTTCTCCAAGCCGCGCTCGTGCCTTTTGTTATTACTAAGCATCTTGCTTGGGGGATGGTGGTTTCCACTGGGGTCACGCTGGCGTTTGCCGCGGTCCTGCGCCATTTTCGGGGTGGGGGAGAGGTTTCAGCATCACTTGAGGGGTTTTAATTCCGAAGGGGTGATGCTAGCAGTGGAAAATGCAGCCATGTTTGCTCCTGGGGCTCTTCCCCTGGCCCTGTCACTGCTCCTGGGTGCCCACAGGGAGGGTCTGGGCACCCCAAACCCACCCCTGGCCAGTTGATCCCAGCTGATCCCTGCTGATCTCTGCTTCTCCCCTCGGCAGGATCCTTGCCCCGCCACCGGGAATGACGGTTTCTCCTCCCCTGTGGC